CCCCCATTGGGTTGTGTTGGATTGCTGTTGTGATGTGTGCTCTCTCTCTCTTTCCCTCTGCGTTGCTGTTGTTTCTAAATATGTTGGATGTGCGTTTTTTTTTTCTCCTTTTCCTCTCCTTTTATCCTTGTTACCACAGATCCAAGTAACTCACAGTGATAATCATGACAACGACGTTCGTTCAACTGCGCCATGTGGTGTACCTGTTGGTGTTTTTGCAGTGTTGTGTGTGTGCGGCGAATGCAGGTGGTGTTTGGCGGGGCTATCCAACCGCGGGGTCAGCCGAAATGGGAAAGGTGGATCAGGTGTTAAGAGGAAGGGTGGCCAGGGCACATGAGCAGATTGCGGTTATGAATGGTTGTCTGTCTGCGTTAAAGGAAGAGATGAAACTGTGCGAGGAGGGTTCCAGGCGTGCTGCAGCCGTTGCGAAGAATGTCAGGGCTATTGTCAAGGAGTTCGGGGAGATGAAAAAGAAGAGAGGAGAAGACTGGGAGCCGTTTGAGTGGATAGGTGAAAATACGAACAGAATAGTGAAAAGCATAAATGAATTTGGCAGTGTAAGATTGTCANAGGTGGTGGTGGTGCGGAATACGCCTCTTAGGGGGCAGAGCGGCGTGCAGGCATACACCGTTAGTGCCGACCCTAATGGCGTCACTGACACGGTCGAGAATAACAAGACCTGGGCGCCGATCCGCATTGAGATCTTTACGAAGGACATGGAGGACCCGAAGAAACACTGTACAACCCATGGGCAAACTCTTGTTGATCAGATGATGAATACGGTACGTTGTGATGGTAACGGTGTACTGACGGTAAGAAGGAAGAGGATCCTTCTGGAGCGAGTCATTCCCGCGGCCATTAAACTGCACAGGGATCGTCTCTCTGTTGTTCCGGTGACAGGTACCATTCTGGTGCCAAGGAAGAACATAGGGTACTGCGATAAATTTAACATCCCTGAGGAACACCACACGACTGGGCTGAAGGGTGCCGATTTATATCTCTACGTGAGTGCCGTACCAGGAGTAAGTGCGGTGGCGTGGGCAATCGATTACCGCCGGTTGAGTAATGGACGCCCCCACGCTGGCATTGTTGGTATCAACCCCCCACTCTGTGAAACAGACAAATTATACCATTCGCACAATGGCACACGGAATCGAACATGTTCTGGGATTCTCAGACGATTTTTATCCAAGGCAAAAC